CTTGGCTCTCAGCTTGGATTAGATTTAGTTTTGTGTTGTAGCAAGCATGATGGCCGTCAGAAAGCCAGCTACCATCTGGCTCACAGCACTCCTTGCCGTGACCTCGCTACCGCGAAGCCTGCCCACGCCTCAGACCCATCCAATCGATGCAACTTACTTGGCTTTGCAGTCGCCTCAGCCTCTGCCACCCGCCGTGAGTTAGGCTCAAAGCATCGAAGTCAGAGTGGAATCACCATGCCGCGAGGTGAGGAGGCAAAAAGGGCAGCTAAGCCCAAGGCCCCGGTTTCGAGCAGGTCGCGATCGAAGGCAAAAGCCAAAGCGACTGCCAGGGACTCGGACCCGGCTAGCTCAGAGATCTCCGGCTTCACAAGCTCCGAGAGCGAGGAAGCGACAACAGCAGCCCCGGCAGTTCCTGCAAAGCCGGCCGGACCGCCACCACCGGTCCCAGTTAGAGGAAGCGGCGCCCGAAGTCGCTCGCCTGCCTCGGGGCCGCCACCGCCCACTCCAGCTATGCCGGTCACAGCGAGTGAAGGAGAGGCTTCCACGACTTTACCGAACACGCCGGTGCAGGCTCTGGCAGCCATGGAAGCAGCCACACGATCCATGGCAGCATTGGGATGTGCACAGACGTTTAACTCAGGTCGTTGGAAGGTAATCACGTCCCCCGCCACCGACAACCAATCGGCAGGCGTAGTTACTCTTATATAGACCGTGAGCTCTGTGGCACCGGACAACTGCTTCACTCGGACCCAGTTCCAGGACGCCTCCTACACGTCCGCCTACAAAGGCAGGACTGGACGCTCGATACCTACAATCTCCATCAGAGACAGATAGGCCAGGGCAAAGCCACCGCCGACGAGGTTCGGGACCTGCGAAGTGTGTGTCAGGCCCTCGCGGCCGCGCTCGCCAGGGCACCACAAAGACACACGGTCCTGGTGGCAGGTGACTTCAACTGCCCTCTTCGAGAAGGTGCCTGTGCCGGACCCAAATGCGTCCAGAGCGAAGCCAAACCCCCAGCTGATCAGGGTGCTCTTCTTCGCACCCTTGAGGACTACCACATGGTCCAAGTCAACTCCTGGCAAAGACATGCGGGCGCGACCTACTACCATCCCAAAGGCCAGGCTCTCATCGACCACGTCCTCCTGAGGAAATCACAATGCGACCAGAGAGCAAAGACAGCCAAGCCGATCAAGACATCGCTCGCAGCATGGAGACAGGGAAGCTACCATCTCCCGACCCTCTGCAGCCTCCCAGTTCATCGCTTCCACAGCCCTCAATAAGCCCAAGCAGCCCCGTAGAGAGTGGAACCACTGGGATCTCATCCCCAGCATCAAATACCCGCACTCACCGCAAATGCAGGCCTTCCGGCACGCAGAGACTGGCCCAGCCCATGACTATTGGCATTAAAGGTATGTGGCAAGCATATGCACAGTGGAAGCGACACGCCCGACGGGGGCGCGATGCTATCTTTGAGGTGGCGCAGCTATTCGAAATTCCGGAAAGCACAGCGGGACTTCAGGACGGCAGGCAAGCAAGCGCGCAAACAGTGGTTCAGTGATAGACTGCAGGACCTGCAGCAGGCGGCCGCCAGGAAGGATATGAGGGCGCTCTTCGCCGGGGTGCGCACCATGGCACCCAAGAAAAAGAAGAGTGAAATCCAACTAAAGGACAAGGACGGTTATCTGCAATCGGCGGAGGTGCAATTGCAGCAGCTTCGCACGCACTACCAACAAGTCTTTATGCGCGACCCTCAGAAGCCTCCACCAAAGGCACAAGCCCCACTCCGCCTCGAGGTAGTAGAGGACGAAGTTCGACAGGCCTTGTCCAGTCTTGTAGCCCACAAAGCCACACCACTCCACTTAGCGTCAACAGCGATGTGGAAGGGCTGCTCAGATCTCCTGGCCCCCTCTTTGACCAAATGGGTGCCGTGCCTAGCTTATGGAAGGACGCCTGGTTGGTCCTGACACCGAAAAAGCTGAGGATCGTCTCCCCACGCGACCTACGGCCAATCGGGCTGACCGAGGCCAGTGGCCGAGCCCTGTCCCACATCTTACAACAGCGTCTGCGGCCGCATGTGGAGAG